CCAGCACCAAATTTTGTTGCTTCTACCATCAAAATACATCCAACATCTGACCATTAATACATCTGCTGTTACCTGACTGGTTCTAGGCACCATCATCTCTCCCAGGGATTACGGCCGTATCCTGCAGGTTAGTCTCCCTGCTTCCCACTACGGTCTACTCACCCCGCACCTGGCAAGGAGCTATCTTTAAAGGGGGGTCAGATCCCGTCATTCTCACCCAGTGACTTCCCCTCTCACTCTGTGTGGGGTTTCACAAGGGCCTCCCTAATCTCATCTTTTCCTAATCCTCCCTCTTTTCTCTATTGAATTCACACCAGCTTCTTTACTGTTTCTCACATGAACCAAGCACACTCCTACCTCAGGGCCTTTGCAGTTACTGTTCTCTCAACTTGGAATTTTCTCCTGACGTTTACTAGATTATTTCCAATACTAAATTGAGGACCTTGTTCGAAAGCTACCTGATCAATTGCAGCCTTCCTTGATTGTTTTACATAAAATACCAAACCTCTTTCCCATCCCCAAGCATAATCCATTTTGGTTTTTTTTTGTTCTGTGTTTTCTCTTCTTTACTTTTTTCTACAATATCTGTCATGGAGTAGACTAGTAACCAGGAAAAGTAGAATAGGAAAACTGAGACAGCAGAACATATTGGCTGAGCAATTTACAGCCAGATACAGAGGGTCACCTCCCTAGAGATAACATCTAGGCCTCAGTTGTGTTCAGCTCCAGGCCCAGAAAAGCAGCAAATCCAGGTGGGTGATGCCAGGAGCAGCTGTAATGACCCCCTTCCCTGCCACTGACCAGTCAGTGGAGACCATGATCCTGAAAGGATACACCTGGAAAAGCCGATGAATATTCTATTAAGATCCTTCCCTGAGACTGCCCCTAAACTCCCCGCCTTTAAAAGCCCTCAAAACAAAGATTCCTAGAGTGCTCTCTAACTCCTGGGAGTATACCTGTAGCTTTCCTTTCTCCCCTTTCTTCCCCCACAGGCACACATCTCCTAAACTCCAAGGGTCCCTACAAGGCTTGCAATCAGGGGAGCGGTGGTCAGCGGCATCTCATCCAGGCTAACCCCCTGAACCTGTCTCCAAGTACCTCTTTTCTCTGGCTTCTCCGTAAGCCAAAGCACCCCTACCTAAGCTCTCTCGTGTTGCTTCTTCTATCCTAAGCCCTTTCTTGCTTTACTGCCCCCAGCTTTAATAAACACACTCTCACAATCACCTGGACTCACATTGTGAAGTCCTTCCTGCACAAAGTCAAGAACCCGCACAGTGGTGTCAGGCCCGAGGCAGACCCGCTCCCCACCATTCCCTTTTCTGGTAACATCATCATCTGTCTTACTTATTTGTCTATGGCCTCTCTCTCTCTCTCTCTCTCTCTCTCTCTCTCTCTCAATTAGTATGTAAGATGTATGAAAGCAGGGATGTTGTCTTTTTTGTTCACTGACGAATCATTAAGTTCTACGACAGCTCCTAAATGATCCATAAATACTTGTTGAAAGTATGGACAAATGAACGGATGAATGGAACATTTTTGCTATTATGTTTTTTAATAACATAGAGAAACATTAAAACTTGCTCTACATAAATAAAAATGCACACCACTAGGAAAGTATAACAAGACTGGTAAAATACAATACTTGGAGAAACATTTTTGAGAAACTAAAGTCATTCTAAAGTTGTCCAGAAATTCATTGGCTATATTATGGTACAATAATACACACAGCAATGAAAGATAATGAATTAGGACAGTAAACAGTGACCTGAAGATTTGTCCATTATATGATGTTAAGTGAAAAAAAAATTAAACTTCAAAGTAACAAAATTAGCAACATTTCATTTTTTTAAAGTTTCAATGACTATATTTTATGGTTTTTGACAATCGAGAAAATAACTTCAAGAGGATAGAAGTAGGAAATCTCAAACATCAGTTATAAACCTTGATGTTGCTTACCTTATTGAAATAATCATTTATTTTCATAACTTTTTTATACAATAAGGGTTTTCAATGTATTGATGTAGAAAAGTGAGCACAAAGCTTTTAATGGATTATGATGTAGGCATTGAGAAGCTTTTGGATTTATAAATAGTTAAGCCCTAAAATGCAAAATTAAATTAAACTATCAAATGCTTAAGCCAAACTTAGGAAAATAATTAACTAGATAAATTAAAGAACCTTCATATTTTTCTTTCATTGCTTATGCAACTGAAAGTATTTTCAAATAGTTCAACTAAGTTTAGTGTACAAATACATCCAAGTTGCAAAAGATCCAAAAAAAAATTTTTAATCCTCACCCAAGATTTTTTTTGTTTCTTTTCTTTCTTTCTTTTTTTTTAACTGATTTTGGAGAGACAGGGAGAGAGAGATAGAGGGAAACATGGATGTGAGAAATATTGATCAGTTGCCTCCTGTACACACCCGGACTGGGGATCAAACCCACAACCTAGGTATGTGCTCTGACTGGGAATCAAACTGGCAACCTTTTGGTGTACATATGGGATGACGCTCCAACCCAGGCCACATGGCCAGCACAAGACCCTTTTTTCTGAAGAAGGAAATAGAGAAATTATCAAGGAATCATTTCTTGATTTTGTTCCTTGGGAGGATGATCCAGATGCTGGAATTATATTTATTTGGGGACTTTGTTAATTTGAGTGATCTGGAACTTCTGAAGTGTCATAGACAGGAATATGGTAGACTAAATTCAATAAATAGAGTATATTCAGGCATAGAAGCAGGCTTAAGGGAATGACAGCAGACACTACCTAGTACAGAATCTCAATTTCTTTAGCAACAAGGCAGTTATAGAGTACCAGGAGTATTTAATTATTTTTAACATACTTAAAATATACATTTTTTAATCTCTGGTTTCAATGTTGAGATTTCCATTAGATTCCATTCCAAGCAAATGAGATACTATATTAAAGAAATTTAATTCTGAACAAATTGGTGATCCCTTTTTATAATACATATTATAAAATATTTATTGTACATATAAATAAGTTTACTCTTATATAAAAAATATTTATATGATACTTATATATTTTATAAAACTATAAAACTGAGTTTTTTATACAATGGAAAAAGTGGGTTTTCACGCATGGTAATAAAAACTTCAAATTAATAAAAGGTAATAAAAGTTCTTAGATTGTTTAGATTAGCAATTATACTAAAAATTTTTATTTATTATTCACAGTACTACCATACAAGGGAAAAGCAACATATGTCCACACCAAGACCTATAGAAAAGTGTTCATAACAGTCTTATTTATAATAACCAAAAACTGGAAACCAAATGCCATCAATAGAAGGAATTACTAAATTGTGGAATAGTTACAAATGAAACACTACTCAAGAATAAAAAGGAACTAATTCCTGATACAATAATATGGATATATTTCACAGATATTATATTGAAGACAGACACAAGGCAGGAGGAAATCAAACCCAAGGCATTCCTTATTGTATGATACCAATTCTGTGAAGTTCAAAAACAGATAAAACTAATCCGTGGTGATTGAAATCAGAAAATGGTTGTTTTGGGGGAGGGGACTATCTAAAAAACTGGAAAGGAGCACAAAGGAACTTTTGTGCAGTGAGGAACATGTTCTATATCTTGTCTGAGTGGTGGTTACATGAGTAAATACAATTGTTAAAAGTTATCAAATTGAAGTAAGATTGAAGATTTTTATTATATGCAAATTACACTTCAACTTTAAAAAACTACTGCACAAAGGGCTATTATTAAATAAAATTTGTGTCGTAGTTTATTTAACCATTCCTCTTATGCTGGGCAATAGTTTTTTCCACTTTTTCCACAATCATGAATTATAATACAATATCTTTGTGCATTATATTACATTGATCCACATGAAGTTACCAATCTTCAACACTTGAACCTATAGAAACGACAAGTCTGTATGTTCCAACATAATAAATTTTTAATATTTTGGGTTGTTCCCTTACATTAAGCTTTCAGAGCTGGGAGATTTGAGCAAAATTTATGAACACAATAGGCTGTTGATACATATTGCTAAATTGCTTTTCCTACCAGTTCGACAAATATATACTTCCTATCCTTTTATGAAAGTGTGTACTTGCACCTTAATATTTTTAATTCTTCATAATTTGATAGCCACTTACATCTCTTCCACAACCATATGCGTCTCTTCTATCTTATCAGCACTTCGTAGCTCACTTACATTCTTCTTACATCATGTATGTGTACACATATGGGTATATAAGAAAACAACTTCTGGAAGACAATTACAATCTCATTTTTCTTTATCTCCTAGCCTAATGCCTTGTGCATGTCATTCATTCATTCAATGAACATCTATTGGGTTCACACACTGGACCAGTAACTGAGGTAGGTGCAACAGGCATTCAAAATGTTCACTGAACCGAATACCATTGGTTTCACATATCCTTTTATTATCTCATTCAACATTTCTGCCCCGCGTTTTAAATTTCCAGATTGAGACTTTCTCATTTCTATGGTGCACTAATCCGGAAACAAAAGTTCTGAAAGTTTAGTCTTTAAGTGTTTTGAGTATGTCCTTCCGTTGGCCTTGTTAATATTTCCTTAAAATGCACCCGAGCGCCATACTCTGGGGGACTTTAGAAGGGGATAGTAAAATCGAGGGCAGCCTGGTGGTGAAGACTTTTCACCGAAGTCCGAAGGGCGCCAGGGTCATAAATTTCTGTATAAGGTCACCAGTGTAATAAAATATGCAAATCATGGCAGCACGTTCTCACTGTAGTTCCGGGAGCGCCGACAGCCCCAACCCGACCCGGCCGGTCGCCTTACTTAGAAGGGTGCAAGTCGCGTCTCTCGCGGACTCGGAGACGAGCCCCGCCCCCTGCCCCTCACCCCGCCCCGCTTCGTCCCCAGCGCGCGCCGGCAGCCCCGCCTGCCTGGCTGGAAAGGGCGGGCCCGCGCTGCTTCCCCTCCTCCTGCTGTCGGGTTCCGGACGGGGCCGCGCGTGACCGGCGCCGTGCGCGAGCGCCGTCAGCGCGCGCCCGGGCCAGTGACAGCATCGGGGATGGATTGTGGCTCCGTCTCCGGAGAGGGTCCGAAGCGCCTGACGGACCGCCGGCGGCTTCTGCTGTTCTTACTCGCTGGCCGCCACCGAAGCTTGAGCGGCCGCGGCGTTCGGTCACGCCGCTGCCTGTCCGCACTCCCGGAAGGTCGAGGGGCGCTGGGCCCTCGCGCCCCGGCGGCCCGCGGCGCTTCCCGTGCCTCCGCGCTGCTCCTGCTGGTGCTGGTGCCCTCCCCGCGCTTGGCTGCCGCCGCTCCGCGCCGATCACTAGGAGAGTGGGAACGCTCGCGCCCGGGAACCTCGGCTCCCCGATCCGGTCGCTGCGGCGACGGTGTCGCCGCGTGGAGGGGCCAGCTGGGTCCCGCCCTGGGCGTCGCCGGTGCCGCCCGCCCCCTCCACCTGTGCCACGCCCGGGTCCCCGCCCTCGCTTCCTCCAGGAGAGGTAGGATCAGGCGGTCGGCGAAAGAGGACTCGGCTAGCGGGGCTGGGGCAGCAGAGCGGGAAGGCCGGGAGACCCAGAGATTCAGTTACTAGAGGTCACCAGGATTCTTGTATGGCGCGGGGGCGAAGGTCTGTCTGGCCTTGCCCTTCTGGTCCGCCGTATCCTGTTCTTGGCCAGCTAAGATCTGAATTACTCGGAATGCCGGCACAAAGGTTTTGGCGCAAAATTGGAACGGGATTTTGGGAGGGCGGTGCCTGCCAGAGCAGTGAGCTGATGCACGTTTTGCTAGTATTCACCTTGTCCCGACTCGGGTGAAGGGTGTGCAGGAGGTTTGCAGGTTTGAGAAGTGGAGCTCTGGAATATTGAAGGGATTGTTTTACAATTTAATTTTAAACTCTAATGGATTCGTTAATTCATTCATTAAGTACTAGCGCCTATTCTGTGCTTGGCACTTTTCCTAGATATTTGGGATCTATCAGTCAACAAAATATTTTCCTTCTTGGAGCTTAATACTTGCAAAGGATGTAATATATATGTTTAAGTAGATAGATATAGATATAATTCTTGTATACATGTGCAATTTACATGTTCATGCATAGTAGTTATATATACACAGTCTGATAAATAGGAAGAAAGAGAGGTGGTAAGAGTTAGGAAGTGAGGTGGGCCTCCAGTTATGAATTTAATAGCGTCTTCGGAATAGGTTTCATTGAGAAGGTGGCCTTTGACTAAATACTTGAAGGGGGCCGAGGGCAGTCACAGTCCTACATGAGATTAAAGAAATCTAAACAGGCGCAGTTTACTAGATAGCAAATTGTTGATAAAAGTGTCATCATTTTGAGTAATTATTAGCACACTTGGCAAAAAAAAAAAAATCACTTTAGAAGTATACTTTTCCCTTAGTAGCCATCAGTTATCACTCTACCACTCTAGTAGATTTTTCTTCTTTCTTAACAGAAATGCCCAGTAAATGTGGGCTGCTTCTAAAATTTAAGAATACTTTTGGCTGGGGAGAAACTGATTGGTAGAGCAGCAGTGAACAAAGCTTTACATACAGAAGGTGGGGAGTGAGTAATGAGTGAACTCTGTCCGTGTCCTGCAGTACTTATGAGTTGGAGGTGGCTTTGAACTTAATTTCTGTACTTTGCCTTTTGGTGCTCTTTTTCACAAGCTGGAAACTTGTGATTTGTTTTCCTCATAAATTCAAGATTATGGTGCAAAGGGGAAAGTGTTCTTTCTCATCACTTTTCTGACATTGTATCTGCGATGTGGTAATGTTGGATTAATCTCAAATGATGTCATTCTTCATTGAGTGTGTATGGATTCATAAATATGGGGAAACACACAGCCAAGACAGTTAAGGAATCGTGTGCCCATTAACCATCAGCAAATGAGAGTTTTGTTCCCTTGTCTTCAGCCTGATAGTTTAAGTGCCGAAGGTTCTAAGTAGGGCTACTTAGACTTAAGGGTATTACAAATAGGAAATTTGTACTTGCTTCCCTCCTCTGGTCAAGGCTAACTGGGCTTCTTTTGTAAGTGTGTTTTTAATATCCTTTTGGTATATTGAAGGTCCCCCAAAGGAGAACTTCATAGTATGCTATACTAACATAGCTCAGTTTACTTGCTTTCTCGTTATTAGTAGGTATTTATGGTTCTTGGGTCTCATTTTGTTAATCACAATAAAGAAAAGTGAGTCAGAGGTGTTTTGAATGTCAGAGTATTGCTGCATCCTCCGGCCCTTTGACAGAAAGCAAACTGGCATTCACCCTCACTCAGCAGGGGTTGAAAGGCCAAGTGGGAAGTGGCCAGCCCTTTTCTCCACTTCTCAGATGACAATATTTCTATGAAATAAGCTTGCAATTGAAATAAACTCCGATAATGTTTTGAGGGAAAAAATCTGCAATATCTAAATCAGAATTAGCTCTTGCTTAGAAAGGAGTGATGTTTTGTGTATGGTATTTTGTTTTAAATCATATGAATGATTATTTTCTTACTAGAAAGAAGCAATTTAGTAGTAAACTAAGCCCATCACTCTTCATAAGCCAGTTCTATACTCAAGTGTTTTCAAGATTCCTAACCCATGGCACAGTCCAGCACAGTTCGAAGATGGGTGGGCGGCCTATGGAGAGCCCCTTGAGAGGTGCATTCATTCATTCATTCACCCACAGTGTTTCTAGAACTAGGTCTGTTCTGTGTCAGCAGACATTAAGGGTCTCTTCTCATCGGATTTTTGTCCCAGGACTGGAGATAAAAAATGAAAAGAGATATTTATGTGGAAAGGGAAGACCATAGGAGAAGAGCAATGCTTGCTCCTGTGATTTTTGTGAGCATGTGATAAAATGTTCCTCCCTTAGCACAGTATCTGTCACCTAATAATTGGTGCTATGCTTATTATTTTTGCCATTGTTACTCTGTCTTCTGCATATGCTCCCAGGCGCCAACTCCACACGTGCTGGACACTCAGCTGCCGGTACCTAGACATTATGACTCTGCCTCCTAATCCAAGTGGCTGGGCCCAACAGGGCCTCTCAGAGGTTAGGAGGCTGGCTGCGCCCACTGATTGGCATTGTGACCTTCAGCAAGTGTCTCAACCTGTCTGAGCCTTATTTTTGTTGTGTGGAAAATGGGGGTCATAATAAGACCTACATCCCCCCGTAGGATTGAGCTGAGGTCAAATGAGTTACTGCATAAAGGTGCTGGGCACGTGGTAAGCACCTTTAGATATTAGCTATTCATGCTACTATTGATCCATGTGACTACAAGTTATCTAAGTACCTATTATATGCCAAGCAGTGTTCTACGTGCTGCAGGTACAGTAGTGAATGAAAACAGGCACACCTGACCTCGCACAGCTTAGATTCTAGGGAGAGAGGGCCAACAATAAACAAGTATAATACCTGATAGGGAGCAGTGCAATGAAGAGCATTCAATCAGGGTGGGGTCTGCTGATACAGGTGATTAAGAAAAGGGGTAACATTGAAGTAACATTCATCAAATGTCTGGGGTTCTCCTTCCAGACCTTTGTGACTTGCTTTGGCCAATGAAATGTGACTAGAAGTGATTGGTGCCACTTCTGAATGGAACTGCAGAGCTACTGTGTGATTCTTCATATCCCTTTAAAGAAAAAAAGAATGAAAAAGGGATACTCATTTATGTAAAAAGGGAAGACAATGTCAGGAGAAAGGAGCTGATCTCAAACTTTCTTTCTAGACAGTCTCATGATTTATATCTTAGAAATCATACAATTGAATTCTTGTTCTTAATATTTTTGGCCTTGTATGCCAAGCCCTCTGCTAGATGCTAACAATACAAAAATGACTAATAGTGGCTGCTCTTGGAGATCATGAACTAATAGAGGATACAGATATGAAAATAATATAATAAGTGCTATGATAGAGCTATCTGTACTTGACTGAGAACACAGATAAGGGAGCAATAAAGCCTGTTTCCTGACCTGGGTGGAGTTGGCAGAGAGAGCCATAAATTGTATAACCATAACCAGAGTGCAATGAGTCCTTAAGAAGTTGTCAAATTAAATGATGAGGGGTAAACAGAATGCTTAAAATTTACCATTTGAGAAAAGGGGAACAAACCAAGATTAAAAATGGATTACCAAAGCATGAAGGTTCAGGAAACAATAGCTTAGGTGACTAAAAAAGAAAGCTGCAAATATAGGTATAGGCCAAATTGGAACAGACTTTTTCTTCCTTGTCAATGTCTTTATAATATAGGCTAGTGGTTCTTTGAATCTAAGGGCTGTTTCTTAATGACTAAACACATTCATACAGACAATAGTTGTTGCATTTTATATTTTGTCCGTCTACAGTGTGTACTACGGAGTGGATCCCTTGATTTTACTGTGACCACAACGACCCTATTCTTTTTCCAGGTAGCCAGTAAGTTGAGAACTACTGCTCTAGGCTTACAGAGAAGAATCAGATCTGTGAGGACTTGTCCATGTCATGTCTTTGCTGTGCAGTTTCTCTTAGAGTGTGTAGGGGTGAAGGATTGAGAGTAGGAGTTGATAAGCTGAAATATCTTTCTGGTCATGTAGGAGACCTACTGAGAAAACCTTTGAACTTTGAGTTAGTAGATGACTGTTATCTCTTCTACCATTCTTCTACAGTACCTGGCATCACTGAAAAGTAAGGACAAATATGTAACAAAATTTGCATATAGCTATGTTTATTACATTTAAATGAAAGGTTTTTATTTTGTTGTCCATCTCTTTTTTCCCCCCTTTGCTATCAAACATCTCTCTCTTTTTTTTAAACGTATTTACAGTATGACTGTGATAGTAAGGAGTTATTTTTTAAATGTCCTTTCTTGGCAAAATTACAAGTTGACATTACAATTGTTCCTTTTTCTTTTTTTTTAGATTTTATTTATTTATTTTTAGAGAGAAGGGGAGGAAAGAGAGAGGGAGAGAAACATCAGTGTGTGGTTGCCTCTCACATACCGCCTACTGGGGACCTGGTCCACAACCAGGCATGTGCCCTTACTGGGAATTGAACCAGAGACCTTTTGGTTTGCAGGCAAGGACTCAATACACTGGGCCACATCAGCCAGGGCCAATTGTTCCATTTTTTTAAAAAAACTAATATTGTGGTTCATGAAATACAAAAACCAGGAAACTGTTATTATGCTACCTCCATCAAATGAGAACCTTGAAATGAGTTTACAAAATGGGTTGGATCTGTGGCTAAGTGCATTGAAATTCATAAAAATCATAATATACAAATTGTTGAGCTCATCTCTCTAAAAATAGGCTTTTGCAAAGACATCACAAGGAAAGAAAATGACAGATCAATCTCATAGATTAGAACACAAGAATCCTCTAAAAAATACCAGCAAACCAAATCTTGCAATATACAAAAAGGACTATACCATGCCAGATAGGATTTTGTCCCAAGAATACCAGGTTCATTAACATCTGAAAATCAGTTTGTGTGATGCACCATATTAACAAAATAAAGGAGAGAAACCACATGATCATCTCAAAAGACAATGAAAAGGAATTTGGCAAAATTCAATACCCCTTCATGATTGAACGCGCACGTGTGCATACACACACACACACACACACACACACACACACAGCTACCCCCACCCCGACCCCCACCCTGCAAATTAGGAATTAGAATGTAACTGCTTCACCTGGTAAAGGGCATCTGTGGAAAACCCACAGCTAATATATTTAATAAGAAAAGACAGAATGCTTTCCCTCTAACGGAGCGGTCCCCAAAAGGTTGGGACTAGTTTCGTGGAAGACAGTTTTTCCACGGACCCAGCTGGGTTGGGGGGATGGCTTCAGGATGATTCAAGCAGATTACATTCAAGCTCACCTCCTCCTGTGCAGCCTGGTTCCTAACAGGTCCACCAGTACCGGTCCACTGCCTTGAAGTTGGGGACCCTTGCTCTAACGTCATGAGTGAGGGATGTCTGCTTGCATCCTCCCATTCAACACTGTACTAGAAGTTCTAATCAGGGCAGTAAGGCAAGAAAATGAAAAAGGCATCCAGACTGTAAAGGAAGAAGTAAAACCACCACTGTCCACAGTTGACTACCTGATATGTAGAAAATTCTAAGGAATTCACTAAGAAACTATTGGAGCTGATAAACAAGTTCAGCAAGATACAAGATCAATATTCTAAATATATTTTTAAAATACACAAAAATCAGCTCTATTTTTATACACTAGCAATGAACAATCTGAAAAATAATAATTCCCTTTACAGTAGCATAAAAAAGAATAAAATGCTTAGGGATAAATTTAACATAATGGCATAATATTTATACTCCAAAACCTACATAACATTATTAGAGAAATTAAAGACCTAAACAAATGGAAAGGCATCCCATGTTCATGGGTTAGAAGACTTCAATATTGTTAAGATGGCTGTACTCCCCCAACTGTATCCACAGATTTAACACAATTCCCATCAAAGTTCTAGGTGACTGCAGAAATTCATGAGCTGACCCTAAAATTCATATGGAAATGCAAGGGACTGAGAATAACCAAAAACAACCTTGAAAAGCAAAAGGGTCATAGGATTCACTTCCTGTGTCAAAACTTACTACACAGTAATCAAGAAAATTTGGCACTGGCATAAGAAAAGGCATAGAGATGAGTGGAATAGAATGGAAGACCCAGAGGTAAACCCTTATATGATAGTCCATTGATTTTTGACAAGCGTTACAAGGCAATTTAAGGGAGAAAATAGTGCTGGGACAACTGGATATCCACATCATTCAAAAGAATGAAATTGAACCTCCATCTCACAATATATACAAAAATTAACTCAAATGGATCAAAGATCTAAATGTAAGAGCTGAAACTGTAAAATAACTAGAAAAAAACATAGGTGTAAATCTTTGTGCACTTGTATTAGCCAATAGTTTCTTAGATATGACACCAAAAGCAGAAGGAATAAAATTTAAAAAATAAATTGAGCCTCATTATAATTAAAAACTTCTGTGCTTCAAAGGGCACTGTTGAGAAAGTTAAAAACAACTCACAGAATATTTGAAATCATATGTATAGTATGGAACTGGTATCTAAAATATATATATAAAGTCTTACATCTCAACAATAAAAAGATAACCCAATTTTTTTTAAATAAGCAAAGGGTCTGAATAGGTATTTCTCCAAAGCAGATACACAAATGTCCGATAAGCACATGGAAAGATACTCAGCATCATTATCCCACAGGGAAATGCACATGAAAGCTACCACGAGGTACCTCTTTACACACGCTAAGGTGATTATAATAAAAAAGATAATAACAAATGTTGAGGATGTGGAGAAATTGGAACCCTCGTACACTGCTGCTGGGAATGTAAAATGGCACAGCCACTTTGGGAAGCGGTCTGGCATAATTGCATAAGGTTAAACATAAAGTTACCCTATGGTGCAGCAGTTCCACTCCTAAGTTTGTACCCAAGAGAATTGAAAACATGTTTACACAAAACTTCATACACAATTTTTATAGGAGCATTATTCATAATAGCCAAGAAGGAAGCAACTCCAGTGTCCTTCAGTTAATGAAGAGGTTAAATAAAGTTGTATATTTATACAATGGAATAGTATTTGGCAATAAAAAAAAATAAGGTACTACACGTACCACAAGGTGGATGAATCTTGAAAACATCATGCAAGTGAAAGAAACCAGTTTCAGAATACCACATATCTTATATTTTATTCATACACAGTGTCCAGAGTAGGCAAATCCACAGAGACAGGAAGTAGATCAATGGTTGCCTGGAGTGGAAGCCTGGGGAGTTTAGTTTCTTTTGGGGTTGGTGATAGTGTTTTAAAGTTGATTGCGGGGATGTTTGCACAACTCTGTAAATATACTAAGAACAATCAAACTGTACACTGGAAATGGGTCAGTTGTATAGTATGTGAATTAAAGCTCAATAAAGCTGTTATTTTTTTAAAAAGGCTTTTGAGGTATGCCTGATTTGTTCATGTTGCTGAGTTGCTTTCGATTACACTTAGGTCTTGCTTTGAACTCGATTGTCCTTTCCGTTCTAGAGCTAAGCCTCTCTGCTGGCTGCCCACAGCTGGAGCGCAGACGCGGAGATTTCACCTCTTCTGGGAACAGGAAGCTCTACTTTGACACCCATGCCTTAGTGTGTTTACTCGAAGGAAATGGTAATCCCTTCTCTTTGGTCACTCAGTGCCATAGAAGAACGCAATGAATTATTACTTCTCTTATGATTTCTTTTAATTTCTTTTATTTCTCTTTGACTTTTAAGTCTCCAGGTAATATTTGGTCAGTCTCCATTTTTAAGTCCTCATTTTTTTGAAGGACAGTTTTTGCTTCATCAGTACAATAGAGATTTTTCTAACACATTTGCCCAAGTGAAGTGTATTCTTTTAACATCACTCTAGAAATACAGTGTTAAAGATAAGAATCTAGACACAAGTCAGCAAAACTTAGGAGTGGTTCTTATTGTCTGAAACACAAAGGTGATAGTTTCATTACTGTGCATCTTGTGTGCTTTTACAATTTTTATGAAATTAAATTTTTGCTGAGCAGCAATTATTGATAATATCATGTCATAGTGTTCTTTTTAAAAAATACTCAGACTGACATTGTCTCTTACTGCTATTGTGTTCATTAATATACACGATTGCTCTGACATGTATGACATTTGCTGAAAGCACACTTCGTATGCGGAGAACAGTCTCATATTTCATCTTATCTAGACAAATACACCACTTATAATTCTCTATACTGTGACACATCTCAAAATCAGATTCTTATATATCATAGATTATACCTTGGAAATAAATATATCTGTGTTTTTACTTCATTGTATAGTTATTTATCCAGTTGTGTATGATTGTATCTGAGAAGCTACCCTGTGTCCCTCTGTAGATGTACTGAACATGTCCAGGTCAAGGGGGTGGAATAAATTCTGTGCTCCTGTGGGGGTTAGAAGCCCTGGGCTCAAGCCGCGCTGCGTTCTGGCCTCGGCAGTCCTTTCACCCTCAGTGTCCCTCTCCTCACTGGTAGCATGGGCATGATCAGAATTCCAAAGAGCCTTTTCAATATTAAATGAAATAATGTTATTCAGTGCGCTTTGGAAAAACTGTCCAATGCTGTATAATATTTTTACAAGCTTTTCTTCTCAAACTTGAACTAGTAGGCCTTTTTCCCCCAAAACTTTTCTTACTAGCCATAAAAGAAAAGTGGAAGTGAGAAGAGGGCCATCTAAAATACCTTGATAAATCAGCAGGAATCTTCCTACATTGTTTTTCTTCTTGGTGGGCCTGTGTGTTTGTTTTCAAATACAAATATTAGAGACAATGGGGGCGTATCAACATCCCCCGGGTGTTTGATGATATTAAGGGAGCATCATTAATTTTGTTAAGTGTAACATTGGCAAGGTAGCTGCAGCGGTCTCTAGATGTCCACCAATCCTTCCTCCGAGAGAGAGGTGGAATTTATTTTCCCTTTCCCCCTTTAAATATTTAAATGTTTATTTATTTATACAAATAAATAATTTTTTATTTTTATATGTATATTTTTAAAATATGTTTTGATATATACGTCCTGCTTTTCTTGGTTTCAAACCTTGATGCATGAATATTTGCATATTTGAAGATCAGTGATGTGAGGACCCCACTGCAGTGTGTTCAGGGTGTGAAGGTGCTGAGATCAGTGATGGACGTGTAAGTTGTCTGGATGAAGGTACAGCCAGACAATTTACCCCTGAGGAAATATTCCCTCCTTTATCCTTTTTTTATTTTTCAGTTACGTCTCCTAATTAATGAAATTTCCTATATGTCTATAGCCAATGTGTTTTGTTCTCTCATTCCTACAAAAAAATAATTTGTGCCTGGTAACTCAGCAGGTTTGCAGGCTTCTGCTTTCCCTGGTCCTCTTTCACCTTCCACAAGTGTTTGTTTAATTTAAGACTTTGGAGTTTGTTTTATTATCAGCTTAAGTTCTTTTCTAGTCTCTATTTTTCTTTTCTTCATAATTGCCAAATCTCATATGTTTAACTGTGAACTTTTCTTAGGTTTAAAAAAATGCAAAAGACATGTATGTTTTTTAAAAATTAGAAAGATAGGAAAAGAACATGAAAAATATTCTGAATCCCAATATCCAAGGGCTACACAATGTTAACATTTTGGCATGCAACCTTTTGGGTGATTTTTCTAGACGTGCATGACCTACACATTGAAATTTAAAGGATTTTGAATGAGGTGAAGGGAGTAGGTCTTTGAAGGGGTTTTGTTTGTCGCCTTTAAAACTGCACCTTTTTTAAAAAAAATTACAATCTCATGCTTACTCTCATCTAGATTATATCAGCTATAACTTTATTCAAACAAATGTGCCATTAATTACAAGAATCAATAGGTTCTTCTGAAATTCTTATAGATGGACATATTTAATAGAAGGAATTACTTTCCAGGGACTTGGTTTTAAGCATTTTATTAGAATTTCCAATATGAAATATAGATTACCATCTAAAGTTATTAAAAACAGTGATACTGCTGAATTGAATCTTTTTACAATTCAATTCAGTGTCATTTATTGAGTATCAAAGAATGTATTTTTTTTCCTGTTTCGGCCTCCATCATTAGTGACTGAAGAGAATTGTGGAGGAAAACCGAAAGAACTGATTTTGACATTAACCGTCTTTGAACATTAAATTACTAACAGCTAAATTACTATTTCCATAGTCAATAATTTGACTGACTTATGCTGGATATAAAATAAGTGAGCTTTTCTACTTACTAAATTATTTTTTGCTAATATATGCATTTTATAATGGAGGAAGTCACATCCATTGAAGAACATAAAAATGATCTAGAATCTGTTAAATCACAAAGTGGTAAATTGTATCTGGAATGTTGAGTCTTGCTTTTTTTCACTTGACCTTGCATGGCAGGCATCCTCTATATTATTAGACATTCTCTGAAAACATGATTTTGGGCAGCTAGGAAGGAAAGGACATTACAGAGCAGTTAGCCCAACTGCTCCTTTTGCATGAAGAAAGACTCAAACGTGGCATACTTGTCCAGAGTGACAGACACATCATAGTTTGTGACTAGTCTCCTCATCCTCCTACCACAGGCTTTCACCTGCTTCTGAATTCAGACATTCACTTCAATGTGTAAGTTTGTGTTTTCTCCCTTTCTATGAAGGAATTTTTTTTTTTTTTTTGACAACTAGAGTCTCCTGAGTGTAATTGTCTCTGTGTGTTTGCTTAGGTTTTACGACTCAACAAGCAGAAATCATTGTATCTGCATTGGTCAAGATCACGGAGGCCAACATGGATATTATCTACAAAGACATGGTCACCAAGATGCAACAGGTCAGCTTTGTCAGGGCACTTTTGCAAATTTGAAATCTAAAGGGAGGGTGTCATTTGTAATATATATTTTTGGATAATGTTCTGTTGAAAAGCATATAGAAATTTTAACCATAGTTGAGAGGCAGATTATTACAGTGGCATAAAAAGTATTTATTCAAAGCTATTTAGTGAACTCTTGTAGAATCATTAAGCTTGAAAACTGACAGTTTCAGTCCCCCATACTTGAATAAATGGAGATGTGGCCAGAATTATAGCAGTGCCTTTTTGAGCCACTGGTCCTCAGACTGCCACCCTTTTCACTGTGATTCAGTTGATGGTGATACTGGATTTGAGTTTTTATTCTTTTCCTTTTCTCATTTTGGAATAGAGGGTGACCTTGCTGAACTTCTTTTCTTGTGTCGACGCTCTTCTAGTTTCTCATTAAGATGATACCAGATAGAAACCGTAGGCGAATACTTTCTAGAGTAGACTAAGTTTTATATTTTGTTTTTCTTTTCCTAGGAGATCACTCTTCAGCAAATAATGTCTCAGATTGCTAGTGTGAAAAAAGATATGATTATTTTGGAGAAGAGTGAGTTTTCAGCCCTCAGAGCAGAAAATGAGGTAAAACTAAACAGCCACTTATAAAATGCTTTATATTCAGACATTGAGATATAATATACATACAGAGAAGTGCACAAGTAAATGTACATCTTGATGAATCTTCACAAAGTGTACACTACCAGTCAGATCAAGAAGTAGAACGTTGCCCGCACCCAACAAGTCCCACTGATGCCCCCTCCTAGTCATTCCTCCCACAGAGGAGACCACTGTCTTGGGTTATAGCACCATTGACTAGTTTTGCCTATTCTAGAACTTGAGCTGATGGGATCATACAGTGTGTCTTGTAGCAGTAGGTCATCCTTTTCCATTGCCTGTGGTGTTATATGAACATGCCACACTATTCTACTATGATATATATTAGAATTGTTTCTAGTGTTCAGTTATTATGAAGAAATGCTGCTGTAAAATATCCCTTAGTTTCCTAAAGTGTGACGTATGGGATCAGAGTTTACATAAATGCTGTCTTTGCATTGTCCTTGTATTTTCAATCCCATTAGAGTCCCATAAAGGAAGCTCATTTATTACCTGTTTATATTAGTCTTGGTCTTGCAAGAAGCCTTCTACCAAAGATTCTCTTTTCGCTAGAAAAAGGTAAAATTTGAAACTCTCCGAGTTGTCCATGAAGTCCACTGTTTGAGGACATTTAGTTAGAAGAAAATCATAGGAGATGTTAAAGGAAGCAAGGTCTCTGAAGGCAAATGTGTATGTTAAAAAAACAAACAAACTGTGCCATCCTGCCATGACAGGTAATTTTTGCTCCTACTGAGACTATTCAGTTAAGGTTGTATTCTAAATGTAGTTAAATTTGCCTTGAATGTGGGAAGAACTTATGCATGAATACATGTTCTAATATTTGTTTATTACCAAGTTTTATATTTTTCTTCTAAGCTTCTAAACATATCCTTGACTTGGTTCTTTTTATTGTGTTTTTAGAAAGTAAAGCTTGAACTACATCGGTTAAAACAACAAGTAATGGTAAGATCCTCATTCCCGTTTGCTTGCTTGTTTATAATTATATAAGCTTAGTAAATATAATGTCAGAAATACTTTGTATGTCCTTAAAAACCTAATTCTATGCTAAATATTTGTGTAATATGTCTCAAAAGTACACTTCAGAAGATTTAGGTAAGAACACAGCCAGTGAATAAATTATTGATGTCTGTAACCAAATTCATTAAGAAAATTGTGTTCTAGGAGGAACTAAATAATTTTTAAATAAAAAAAGTCTCTGAAGTAACCTCATGGAACCCTTATATTCTCTTAGAAGAGACTGTCTTTAGAGATTTACATGCATTTTTAAAATGCTCACTGTGCCTATTGTTTGGATTTATCTTTTTTAATTTTTTAATTTTTTACTTTTTTAGAGAGAGGGGCAGGGAGGGAGAGTGGGAAGAAGAGAAACATCTGTGTGAGAGAGAAACATTGATTGGTTGCCTCTCATATACACCCCAACCAGGGACTGAACCCACAATCTAGGCATGTGCCCTGACTGGGAATCAGACTCACAACCTTTTGGGTTTATGGGTCGATGCTCCAACTGGTCAGGACAACTGTGTCCAGACACGGGCTGGCGCGAGTCTCCCCAGACACTGATTCCCAGCTCTGTGAGCTCCCGTCCTGCCCCTTCCCTGGGATGGGCCCTTAGGCTGGAAGCAGTGGAGGCAGCTTTCTTAGGCTTCACATCCTCAGTGGGTCTGGATTTCTTACTCTGGATTTCTTTCTTTCTGTGTTGTTTGCCCTCTGACTAGGATGAAGTCGTCAAAGTCCGAACAGATTCCAAATTAGACTTCAATCTAGAAAAGAGCAGAGTAAAAGAATTGGTATGTTCCTTTTTTAAAAATAAGAGTGTGAACTAAATTTTTCGCTGGATAGAATGCTTGGTCAAGTGTAAGTTTATATACAGTTTACTAGTACTGTTAAATATTTACATATATATCACTGTTAGACACAATTTTTTCTTAATTTTGATTATATTTTAGATGAGCACTTAAATTTGATGCTTTCATAAGTATAATTAAAATTAAAGCCTTGGTCAAATAAGTTTAAGTCTTTTTTTGTTTCAGAGATACTAAGTTATATATCACTTAGACATTAATAAAGAAATTAAACTCAATCTTGATCTATTTCATACTGACTTAAACCTCCACAGGTCCTGATTTTACAAAGTTGATTATTTGACTTAAATAATATTAAATTATTAATATGAAATATTAAATTCTATACTGAAATTCAAGATTTTAAAAATATTTCCATATTATCTTTTTCTTAAAATGAGAACTCTCAATGACTTTACTGCATAGTTTTGAAATGCAAATTCTAAATGATTAAGTTATGTAAAACTGAAACTTTCAATTAGGAAAAGTACTGCTGCACATTTGTTACCAAAAAGATATCACAAAATGTAGGTTGTAAATAATTAAGCTGAAGCAGATATACCCCCAAGCGATGACTGGTGGGGTCACGCACTGGAAATACAGCTCTGTTGCCCTTACTTTTCCAAAGATAATACATAGAAATACAATGTTTTTCCCCTCAGAGCTTTCCCAGTAACTTTTTTTTAAAATCAAGTTGTAATTGACATATATTAGTTTCAGGTATACAACACAATGATTTGATACTTGTATATATTCCAGAACGATGGCCACAATAAGTTCAGTTAATATCCATCACCATATTACGTAGATAAGAATTTTTTTTCTTATGATAAGAACTTTAAATATTTACTCTCTTAGCAACTTTCCAATATCTAGTACAATATTATAAACTATAGTTGCCACGTGGTATACTACATCCCCGGGATGTATTTATTTTTTAACTGCAAGTTCGTACCTTTTGACCCACTTCACCCATTTTTGCTCACCCTCCATCCCTTGCCTTTGGCAACTCTCAGTCTCTTTTCAATATCTGTGAGCTCCCAGAGTTTTTTGTTTCTTTAGATTCTACATGTAAGTGAGATCATGCAGTACTTGTCTCTCTGATTTATTTCATTCAGCATAATGCTCCCAAGGTTCATCTGTGTTGTCACAGTGGCAATATTTCCTTCTTTTTTTATGGCAGAATAAAAAAGAGATGTAATACAGGATAGATCTCAAGTTTTCTTGATCCATTCATCCGTCCATGGGCTCTTCCTTTGGTTGCTTCCATGCCTTGGCTATTGTAAATGCTGCTATGAATATGGGAGTACAATAACTTGTATGTTTTAATCTTTAGGTGCTGGGTTGCCTCTGATTTTTAACCCATCTATCTTCTTATTCAGGCTTTATTTGAATTTGATAATATTTGGCAGATGCCTTTTTTATTCTTAGCATAATGTGAAATAGGGCATATAAAGCATTTTTCACTAACACAGAACTGGATACATATGCAGAAACCAAATGCTCACAGTTGTTCATTGTTTTTTCTTTTTTCACAATTTGCTTTTAACCAAAATGTACTACAGTGATAAACTAATAACTCAAACTCAGACAATTACTTCACTGTATTTTGGAACTGCTTCTGGATTTCAAGAGTTAGGCTGAGGTTTGTTAAACCAAATAATTATTATGTTCATGTAACCTGTTTTTCTAATCTTAAAACACTTTTCAACCATGAAGATTAAATCCCTTAGTATCACTAAAATATTTAGTAATTACTAGCACACGACTTGTATCTAGAAGAGGAGAAACTTAGTTACCTTTGTCCTTATGGTTTGTGAATTTAGCAAAAATTCTGGATTCACTTGACTTAAAAAGATGCCTACTGTTAACCATGCTAGGAAGAATTACCTAGAAGATTGGTAAATATGGGATGTGAACCTGGATTAAAGCCAGTGAATTTATGTGATTTACTGCCCTTGCTGAGAAGTTGTTCTTGGTAATCCTAAACTTAGATTACTCTGAAGTGCAGGACAGTAGCATATTATTATTCAGCTAGCATGTAACTTACTTTAAAAATCATGGCAATATCAAGATGTGGGCTTTTCATTTCTCGCATCTGAATCAGTATTGACTTACTGAAGGCCAGAGTTTAAAGGTGTGAAGAAAATCCAGTCCCTCTCTGCCCTCTGGTGGTGACCTGATGCATAGCTTTCTCCTCATCTAAAGCCTTGACATTTAAAAGACAGAGATGAGCATTCTTTTGTCCTGTGACTAGGACCAAAGTTTGGGGTTTGGGGGCTGCTGCTTCTGCTTTTTAATTTACAAGCTATGCTGTTTTTTAAATATTTTTTGTTTTTGTGGGTTTTTTAAAGATTTTATTTATTTATTTTTAGACAGCGGAAGGGAGGGAGAAAGAGAGGGAAACATCAGTGTGTGGTTGCCTCTCAAGTGCCCCCTACTGGGGACTTGGCCCGCAACCCAGGCGTGTGCCCTGACTGGGAATCAAACCAGTGACCCTTTGGTTCGCAGGCCGGCACTCTCAGTCCACTGAGCCACACCAGCCAGGGCCAACCTATGCTGTTTTTATACTCTACACCCTAGCAGACCCAGGGGAAATTTTTATAGCTATAAAGTTTCTAGGTACTTCAAAACATTAATTATTTTCTCCTATAACAATATTCATGTAGTGAAAAAATTTTAATTTTTCACTTACATTATAGATTTGCATTTGTTCAATTAAATCCTAGTGCCCATTGCTGAGCAGATATGTCTGATTTTGATATCAGTATCAACAAAATTATACCACATCTTTACACAGACATTAGAGCATAGCCAAAGGCAAGATACCATTTTAATTCTGTGTAAAACTTGTTAGTTCCTTTAGTAACACTGGATTGTGACTATACCCACGTGGATTTGTTTGTTTTAAATAATTAAATGTGATGAAACACTGTATTTCTTGTATTTACCTTGTTTGATTATCACATGGCAACGTCCATGTCACAGAATAATATTCCTTGAAACTATTTTTTCCCGACTTTATATCTTTCCTATCTTTGGTCTAAACCTCAAGTTTTGTTTGTAATTGTGATGGGATAGCTACTAAATGGAATTAATTTCCCACCTTTTCAGTTCTTTCCTGTCAAAGCCAAAAAGGGTATGAGTCAGCACCATTTAAATTGGTCCCAGAGAATGCTGTATAGTGGGAGGGATCTAGAGACAGCACACAAAGAGATGAAAAGGGAAAAACAGCAGAAAGAAAGGTGAAGGATGACAAAAGGTTATCCCGGTATTGGAGCAGTGAGTGAATATAAATAAGAAACCTCAAAAACACAGATCTAAAGGAGAAGGTCACGTAGGCTGCTGTATCCTGGAGGCAACTCCCAGTGTTACATATCTTGGAAGTAGTGAAACCGAAATGTTTAAGACTCTAGAGAAGGAGGAGAGAGAGAAAGAAAGAAGAATCAGAATCTGACCTATGTGACATGTTTGTTTCAGTATTCATTGAACGAAAGGAAGCTGCTGGAAATGAGGACAGAAATGGTGGCATTGGTAAGAAATGAGACTGGCTTTTCTTGGTCATTTTATTTCTCTCTTCTTCATCCCATGCATGGTTGCTGTTATTTGTAGTGATGTGTTATAGGAAAATATATGCAGGATTAGTGTCATAGGGTTTTTTAAATTGTAGTAAAATAAACGTAGATGTTACCGTGTAACCATGTTTAAGTGTACAGTGTGGTGCCCTTCAGGACATTCACATTATCATACAGCCATCGCCTTACCCAGCAACTCCCATTGCCTTCGCCCCCCCGCCGCTGGCAACCACCATTCTACTTCCTCTTGGTGAATTTGACTAATCTAGGTAACTTACATAAGTGGAATCATACAGTATTTGTCTTTTTGTAATTGGTTTATTTCACTTCCCATAAGGTCCTCAAGTTTCATCTATGTTGTAGCATGTGTCAGAATTTCCTTCCTTTTTAAAGCCGAGCCATATTCAGTTGTATGGATTTGCCACATTAGATTATCCTGTCTCTGGACAGTTGGGTTGCTTCCACCTGGTGACTGTTATGAACTATGGTGCTAGGAACAATGCGGGTACAAATGTCTGTTGAAGTCCTTGTTTTCTGAGTATGTGTATGTGCCTGGTAGTGGAGTATTATAGGATTTTTTCACACTTAACCAAATACTTGATTATCTTAATACAAGTTAAAATCTCAGTGATTGAAGAATAATAAGGAATAGACATAGATTTTTTTGTTACATTCTTAACGTATGACATGCATTTATTTCTTTTCCATCCTGTAATACCTGGGACCCCTGAAACCTGTGAGAGAATATTGGAATATTCCTCTGGAATACTTTTCTCTTCATCCAGGCATTTATTTTCTTATTCATTACCTGAATTCTTAGTCATAGGGAACTAACTACTTGCCCTAGAATTTTTAGTGAAGCGTCTCCAGTGCTTTAATGCGTTAATGAAATATGACAACCCTTTTATAACAGCCAAATTCACCACCCTTTGGGGTGTATCTACATACACCCCAAATACAGTTGTGTATCTAGTTCACCTGTATTGTATTTGGGAAAGAATACAAATAGGCCATTGGTATAGCCAAGCCTCATAATAACAAAACACTTGGTGTTTGAACTATAAAAGAAGAAAACTTTAAAAAATGTGAACAGAAATAGTGTCAAGGCAAGCACTGTTGCTTTTAGATTATCTAATCCAAGATTCTGTTCATTTTTTTAAAAGCATGTTTTTATACCTTTCATTAAGAGGAGGATAGTACACATTTCTTGCTTTTGAGAACAGATTGGCTTTATTATGTTAATCTCACATATAGAGCAATCTATAACATACAAAAGTTTCTTTTACATAGATTATCACTTTGATTCTCTGAACAGCCTGTTTGGAGGCAGGTCTAATGGTTTTGTTTTTGTTTTTTTTCCTTTTTTTCAGACAGAAGGAAACAGGCCTACATATATTAAAGGCCCTCACCAATGTAACATAGCATGAGGATAGTAGAACTAAGACTAAAGCTCAAGTCTCCTTAATATGACCCCAGTTCCCCTTTGACTGCACCCCTTTGGGAAGAAACTCTCAGGACTGACAGCAGAGGAGATGGTATATCCCAAGTGGCTTAATGCTGTGACTCTCTTTGTTTTAAAAGCACGCGCAACAAGATCGGGCCGTCACACAGACGGACAGGAAGATAGACACCGAGGTCGCTGGCCTCAAAACCATGCTCGAGTCCCACAAGCTTGATAATATTAAATATTTAGCAGGTAAGCTGCTTTTTACGTAGGCAGTTAAAACAAGCTGAAAATAAAAATCTATAAAGTAAGTCATTTCATTGTATTTCATTGATTCCAACACATTTTTTCCTATCTTTGAAATTGGCAAGCATCTTATAATTCCTAATAGATGGACTATCATGCTATAATTGGCAATATTTTCCTTAGAAATAAATAAAATGATGTACGTTATAGTCAATGGAATCTTAAATTTGTTAAGATACTGTTCTTGAACTATAGTTGTTTTTTTTTTAATTTTAAATGAAATTCAAGACAATATTTTGTACAGTTGCGCTCTTTCTGCTCATAAGGAGTTATTTGCAATTTTTAAGCCAAAAGAGGGAATAAAGATTCGTGTACCAAGAAAAAGCCATTATTTTAACTTAAATTGAATATTCTGGGGTTAATCAATATTTTAAATTATAATAGTATTTAGAAGTGAAATTTTGCTCCTAAAGTTAAAGGGTGTGCCCCTATACAGTACATATACTTATACTTTGGGACCGCAGACTTTTTGTGATTCTAAACTTTTATTGAAAAGTTTTCTTGAATACTGGATACATTTGTACTTTAGAGATGATGATTTCAAGCTATGGGTTTGTGTGCGTGTGTTTGTTTGTTTGTTTGTTTGTTTTTATAGGCAGGTGTTTCATGGAATGTGGCAAATTAATGAACAAGTTTCTTAGTGGGGTTTTTTACCCCCGGGGTGGATAGGTGGATAAGTGTCTCTATGTTTTCTTAATAGAAAGATGTTGTCTCAATAACTTTATAACTAATACTGAGTTCAATTATTTTTTTTCTTACAGGGTCTGTATTTACATGCCTAACAGTAGCTCTGGGATTTTACCGCCTGTGGATATAATAAAGTGTCTATTTAAGGAGATCTCTATTATAGTTTTGCCTTAAGAATACCAGATTATTGTGCTTGCTTTTTTTTCTCCCATTTCAACTTTTAACCCTGATTTTCGTTTAGTGCATATTATTTATTTTATACAAATTATGGACCTATAACCGAGGCAAAGAAGTCAGAAATGTCATAATTACTCCTTTGATTTTTTCTGTTTGGTTGACTTTATAATGCTGAGTGGTGGTGGACAAAGCGTGGAAGACTCCACTCAGCTGGATCCGTGATCTTGGCCTCGTGTGGGACATACGATCAGTAACTATTTGTATAACTACAATTTTAAATCTTTTGTCACGTAGGGGTTTTGGGGTCTCCACATAAAAGGCACATTGGCTTTACTTAGTCCTGAAGAATCACTGAAACTAAACCAGGAGCACCAAATCCTCTTTACCTCCTACTCCAGTTCTTACTTACCATCAGTCATCTCCTATGTTGCAGTGCTGTGTCTCAGCTTTATCTGGTTTGTATGTTAATATTACAGGTGTACTCTACATCCAAAGGAGTTTTTCTATTTTAATTTCCATTGTCTTTGTAAGTTGCTGTTACGGTTATTTTTTATGTGCCTTCCAGCTACAAAATCTTGTTGCCTAATGAAGTGTTGTAATGGGGATTCTTGTACCTCTAGGTTTCTTTTCTTCCCTCTCACTTGGTCCTTCTTCCTCTCCCTCATAATTTGAGTTATAATAATACTCCACTTGTGGCATTGCCTGCCTAGAAAACTTGGTATTTCTTGGTGTAGGCAGCTACTACAGTTTGTGGGGTGGGGTTTACTTCCTCTGGTCTTCCGCTCTATACACAGGGAGCTAGACAGTCTGTTTTCCTTCTGTAGCAACATCTAGATATTTAGGTAGTGTATGCACTTTTTAGAAATGTCTTTAATGAATATGCTTTTGCCCATTACAAGCTCATATTGTAGGCTTTCAAAACTAGAGAACTGTCATGCCAGGTATCATCTGCATTTAGGTTGATTTCTTTGGTTGTTAAAGATATTCTCATTCTTACCTTACTTCTATATTTAAAACAAATTCCTAGATGCAACTGGGGTTACATTGGAAAAGCACCTTCTCATCTTATTTAAGTGGTTGACCCATAGGAGAAAATAATCATTTTAGAAAAGATGACATTAATAGAACCTTTTCTGTCTTTCTCCACATGTCCACATTTGTACATACTCTGGTACAGTGGAGAAACCACACAGAGACTTCCTGATCAAACTGATGGAATAAATACCCACTGTCACTGTTCCAACCATACTGGCAAAAGAAAAGTTGCCTTTTGTCCTGTGGGTGTCACTTCTAAATTTTGGAAAGTGTGCGTCTGTCTTTTTGAAAAACTTTTATGTAGCATAAAGGTTCTGAATTTCAAGTAAGTATGAAAATCAAGTACTTTTGCATTAGTGGTATCAGTTTCAAAGTGAATAATCTTTTTCAACTAGATCCAAAATTAACTGCCTCGTAAAATATTTTATTGATATATTCTTCCCCTTTCAGAGAAGGATCCCCAGAAAATACTGCACATTTAGCCACTGCCTTAAGTACTAAAGACTTAAGTAAATGGCATCCCATTAAGACCACATTTGCAACTACTTAATGCAGATATAACTTTGGTTAGTAGAGCTTAGAGAAAGGCCTTGGAGTACAGACACTCCTCTGAAATAAAGAACACCCAAGGGAGAAAGTGCTGTATGTAATTATGTTTCAAAGCAAACATTAACTTGTATAGGTTAAAAACAGTGAAGTGACCTTATATCCTGATAAAATGTTTTAAAAATAACATTTAGGGGAGTGACATTCTTTTATCTGCCAGAAGTATTCCAAATAACATTCCTACCAGTGATGGTGGGCTGCGTCAGTCCATCACTTGATCTGAGCCATTGATTTTGCTGTCGCGTTCTTTGCAGTGCAGAACAGCCTTTTTTTCCCCTCCACCTCAGGAACAATGAACTTGCCTTTTGATGGAGTGGATTGCATGCTTTTATGGGGGTTAGGAGGGCTCAGGACGATGCTTTATTTAGTCAAATGTATTGCGTTTGAAAAATGTATGAGCCAAAAATACAAGTGTCCCCTTCCCACTGCTGGCCCAGACATCCGAACAGGGTGAGCATGCTTTGACTAGACACAGTATGACAACTTGCTGAGCTAGCTTGGCTTAGGATTCCGATCACTTTAGGAAATTAAGCATTAATCAAAAGGGGAAAGATGCCTGGAAAAACTTTCAGAAAATCTGTGTCTAGCCCATGGAGAAATTAACCATAGCTAGATCCTGAAAACATACGTCTCTAGGTGCAGATGCCTTAGGTACAGATGCCTGAAGTGGAACATCAAATGGACAGAAACTATCACTAATCACTGCAATCAGTCCATTCTTAAGGGTTCCTCTGCATTCCTAGTTTCTTCTCTCCCCTCTCCTGTCCTTAATCTTTTTGAAAAGAGCCTGAACTCCAATTCCATTTCCTTCCTGCCCCCTTAATAAGCAAAACCTTATTGGTGTGGTTCTTTACAGGGAACATGAACTTTGGTTTCTGTACTGGCCTATTCCTCACCTGGTTTTCTAGCTTAATATCTGACAAAACTAAATCTGAATGTATTCGGTTTCTCCCTGAAGTATGTTCAGTGCCTCAGTTGAGAAGTCACCAATTCGAGAAGAAAGACTTGACAACTCAAACCAGACATCTTGCTGGAATTTATGTCTGAACACTTTAAAAACCAAAATCCTCAGCCACCTTCAACATGACCCTGACTGGATTGTGTCGGGCTAGTTTGTGCATTTCCTGCAGCACTGCTCAGAGTCATGATCTTCCCTCTTACGTTCTAGTCTCCTCCCTTCCAGCCTCTGCCGTTTAGCTAACCGTGTCAGCGTTAGCAAGCTTTCTCTTCCCCCACGCTAATATTCATGTTCTAAGGATTTTGGCCTCATTTCTGAACAGATCGCATACAGACGGTCTTACAGAACTCATGCCTAGAAAACGTTGGCTTCAACATACGTTTATCAAATTTGTGATCTTTCTGACACTAAAGCAAAAACATGTTAACCATAAATAATTTATGTATATAAAATGTTTGACAATGTTTAGCCTTTTATTGGAATTTTATTGGGAAAATATTTCTACAGACTGTATTACACTTACGTTTCTCTGATTATAACCCAAATCATTTCTTAACCCTTTCATTACTTATGCAAATATTCAGTTAAATTTTACAATGTATTAAAGTGGGTATAACATTTTTATTATCTAAAAATATTTAATTCTGTGTGACTGATACACTTTTGTTTATTCAAATTGAATATGAAAACTAGGACTTCTGTCTGCACTGTACTTCAGCTGCTATTCCCTCCAATTGTAGATGATAACGCTGGTGTATTATAAGAAAATCTAGTACCTAAAAATTTGAATTTACATAGATAAATTTGAAAGTAATTATTTGATTTATAAAATAAATTTCTATTTTTTGAAAGAATTCTTTTAGTATGCTTGTGTAAAATACTTGTTTGAGGGAAAATGAGGCTTATACACAAGGTTTTAAAAATAGCTGAGGATTCAGACTGCAAGTGATAGAAACCTAAATCAAGCCAGCTTCAGAAAAAAAGGAAGTTGCTTTTTTGACTTACATGATCAAAGTTCAGGAAGAACAAAACTAAAACGCCATCACACTCCTCTCTCTGCACCGCTTGCCACTTTTTGTTTTTTTAGATTGTATTTATTTATCTTTAAAGAGAGGAGAAGGGAGGGAGAGAAACATCAGTTGGTTGCCTCTCATAAGCCCCCCGTCCAGGGACCAAACCCGCAACCCAGACATGTGTCCTGACGGAATCAAACCCGCGACCCTTCACTTTGAAGTAAGATCCCCAACTAAGCCACACTGGTCAAGTGGGCCCAATTCTCTCAGATTGTCTTCAAGTATGGAGAGCCAGAAACAGCCAGCAGGTGCGCTGAAACTTCAGTTAGAAAGCTCCACTTTGAAAAAGTATGGAAAGAAGTATCCGAAGCCAGCAGCTGAAGTTGTTGCCAGCAGAAGGCTCCCTAGAGGGACACTGGTTCAGCTCCTTGTTGCGTGCTGCTTCCTGAGGACCGGTGAGCAAACGTCCCACCACCAGAGAACTGAGCTCTTCTCCAGTCAGCCTGCACTGCTAGCTCTTTGGAGTAATAAACATCTGCTCAGGAGGAAAGCAAAGGGACACTGGGAAAGTAGGTGAATGACAGCCCAGAAATTAATTTTAGATACATTCCATTTTCCCCAGCCAGAGATCTTTTACCAAAATTAGAGTCAAATAGACTAAGTGGATTTGAGGGCGAGCCTGTTAAGTTTCTAAAAGGCCTAATTGATTTGCAAACTCAGCTTTTGTGTCTCCAGTGGTGTGCTGTTGCTGTTTTAGATGTAGGTCATCCATCTATATTGTCTCACCTGGGTCCAGCTTTCACATCCCTGAGGTTTTGATTTCTTTAAAAACTAAAACGTCCAGAAATAGCTTTCTCTCTAGAATTGACCTCTGGCATTCCACAACAGAGCCTCACCGTACAGTCGTGTCTCTACCTTAATTCTGTAGCTTCCACTCAAAGATCACAGCCTCTGGGACCCTGGAGAGGGGTTGTAGTATCCACTGTCAACCTCAAGAGTCCAAGCTTTGGTGTCCTTAAACAAGCAGCACTAAGCTTGGTCTTCTTGTACATGTCACACAGATGCAGGTAACATTTTAGGCCAACACTCAGAAGTAAGAATTTGAAATTTGTGCTCATTTCATTTTGCAAGGTCCTAACTTTTCAGTTTAATCCTTTTTTTTTCTCTGCATACTCTGTTTCAGTACACTCTTAAGAGCTATTTATGATTTTGAAGTTTCAGGTCAGCGTTATATTACAGCCCAGGAAGCTGCACTCACAGTTTCAGATTAGTGTGTCATTCCTGAAGTTACTGTCTTTGGAGGTTTTTAAAAAACCTCCCTCCTTGGCCCTCTAGATTTGACAACACTCATTTCCTCCCAGGAGAAAGGAAACAGCTGCTTAGTGGCATTTTGTCCCTACTGGCATGAAAGTCAGTGTCTGCCTCACACAGAAGTATTTTTTTTACTATTTCTCTTTAATTTTACAGTAATTTATGGTTTGGATGAACCTCACAGCAACCCGAGTAATGCTGGGATAGGCAGTGGTCTCTCCCTCTCAGACCTCAAGAATTGCTGTGAAAACCTCAGTGGTAAGACTTTGTGGGGAAAGATGGAAGCTAGGAGTTCAAGATACTCAGTGAACCCATGAGAGCAGTTACAAGTTTTTTTTACATTTGTGTCAATTGGATGTTTTCAACTGCAAGTAACATAAAACTAACCATGGCTTGTGCCTCATGACTTTAATTGCTTACTTGGGTCTAGAAATGAGTGATCCTCAGAGTTGGGTTGGCAGCTCAATGTTGCTTTCAAGGACCCCACTCTTTTCATCTTTTCCATCTTTACCTTCCTCTATTTGTTAACTTTCAGCTTCCGCCGTGGTCACAAACCCAACCACAATATCGCTGCCACAGCACCAGGCATCTCTTCATAGGGCAGCATCCAAAGCAAAAGGAGAAGTTGGAAAAGGGCTCTTCTCATGTGTCTCCTTTTAATCAGGGGGAATGCTCTTTCCTCTCCCACAGAAATCCCCTTTATCTCTCATGCCAGGACTAAGTCACATGGCCACCTATATAATAGCAAAATTTTTCAGCCCCTCTTGTAGGAAGTGGTCAAGGAGAGAGGTTAGAACTGGTTGTTGGTTGGCATTCAATAGTGTTGGTTACAATGTCGATGAAAATAAATCACAGGATGTACACAATAAAGAGAACCATACCATTAACTAAAGTTACCACCCTTTAGTGGCTAAAACAGTTCAGAATGTCCTTTCCCTTTATTTCTAATAACGTGTGGGTAATTTTATTTTATTCTATGACACATAATATTTTTACTGGCTCTCCAATCAAGTCTTCAACTCCTGTTTTTGTTTTATAAACCAGTTTCCAGGATTCGCCATTGTTCTGGATTAACTTGCGTGCTTGAGGAGGGAAAAAGTTGCTAATTAACAAATACACATACACACTTAAGTAGTTCTCAGAACTCTTCCTCAATATACAGGGTTATATGCCCCTAGCTTTGCCGTAGCATTTGAGCCAAACCACGGCCTACCCCAGGCACCACTCTCTCCCCTTCAAAGCAGCATGGTAGCCTTCCCACAGGTATTTCATCCCTCAGCACCCACAGGGTTATGTTTTGTTTGTTTTGCTTTTTGCCTCGGTTGCTTTAAGCTGCAATGCAGTGCCATGCCTCCTGCGCTGCATCTCTCTTCCCTTTCCCCAGCTTCCCCCTTTCCTCTTTGCTAACTATCTCCTACAAGAATAATCCAGAACATATATCCTTGATCTAAAATTCACATGGTTGCAGGAAGTATAAAAAATAAGTCTGCATGAGTTAGAATTCAAGGTTGGGGAGGGATGACTGGGCTTCCCCCAGGAAGGACCTAGAAGGCATCGTGTTCTCTACTGAACAGTATGTTCTTTTTGGGATGCTGCAGATTATTGATTATGTACAATCCCTTCACGTGACCTAGGAAAAGTGTACCTGCAGAAAGTGTACTTATGATACATGGATGTGATTAAATCA